GTCTGGTCCACCATAGTATCAGTTATATTCTACGTTAGCTCCCTAAAGATATGTTGTTGCAAATTATAAGTCCTTTTGAGCATCGTCAGTAATTTAAATCGGGTTTTGGTAATGTATAAACGGCTATGCAAATACCTTTAATACTATTTTATATTTATTATGTTTACTGAATATTTGTTTAGAGTTTCATTCCAAAGTTGTTTTTATTTTAAAACCCAATGCATACCAACCGTTAAATATAATTATTTTGAATTACTGTATAGCAAAATTGATGGCTTTAGTTTTAATGTCATAAATTTTACCCGTCACTATAAGGCATACAAGAGTCATGCTTAGCTCGATCATGTTAGCTTTTGGCTCCATCGTAAAAACCCACCTACAAACAGATTTGTGTTACAAAAAAGATAAAAAGAATTTTCATTAATGGAACTGTGTTTACACAAGAAAATATTTTTTTCCAAACATGCTATAACATGTAACTCAAGTTTCCTCTAGCTCTTAAAATATTGTACATGAATTTATAGCCTACAGTAACAAAATGAACTTTCACTTTTTTACCTGTAATTGAAATGCAATGGATCTGCAGTTTATATTATCTGCAGGGTTAATATAAAACAGACTACTCTAGAATGAGCTGTGTCAATGTTTACCTTTGCCCATTGCCAAACTACTAATATGCATGTTGTTATCTTTCCTTGAAGAGTACATCTTAGGGGAATGACTTAAAATATCAATATTATTACGAGAACTTGTTTAATTTTTGTGTGCAGCAAATCGACCCTTAAATATATATTCTTATAGGCATATTGGTAACAATTTAAAGCTCTTATCCTCTTGGTGTGCCTTTTGCTGGTTTGGATGATTTCCCGTGAAAGCCCTTCGTCCTATAGGCTTTTAAAATTTCAAAGTTTGTGCTGAATTCTGTTGTCCATCATCTGAACTTTTTCAAGTTAACATTTTTTGTTTACATCAAAACAGATGGCCATGAAAAAAAATCCTGCAGTCGCCCAACAAACTAGGCTTCCTTGCACATATTATAGTACAGAAAGCATTACTTTGGCACATAGTTTTTACTTTGGCGCACAGTTTTTTTCACTTTGGAGCACACCAGTATTCCAACCAAACAACACAAAACAGAGTGTTTTTGTTATATTATGTACATAATCCGTGTACGCTTGAAAATAAGTTGGCGACACTTAAAGATATTATGACTACGATCAGCTGGTGCAGCGTTTTCCATTTCGTTCAATGTTTGGATTTAAACTAACCTAAAATCGTGCTGTACTATGACAGACTAATTATTTACAAATATAATGTTGAGTGTAAACTGCCTACTAGATACACAAATAAATATGAAACAATAAAGATTTTCTGATTTCTGAAATAACTGTTGTTTACATCCATACAAAAATTGTGTTATCTTAGAGCTCTTGATGTTTTAGTGAAAATATTGTAATGTTATTTAGTGAATTTTTGTAAACTATAGTTATTTATTTAAAATGTTAAGAAGAAAAAGACGTTAGATTTTGAGTTTTCATAGTATGTTTTATTTGTATTTGCTATTTTTTCTAAGAAAACTGGAAGAGATCGCGCACTCAATGAAAATAATAGGACAAGGGATATGATTAGAAATAATCATTTTCGCCCTTGTCAATTGCCCTTAGCCATTGACAATAATTCAGAAAATTCTCCTTTTTTTGAACTTCGACTAAAGAAATTTTTGTGATGCTTTATATTTTAAACGTGTTCACAGTTGTATGCATGTTTTCATATTATATTGTAAAAACAAACTACAAAGAAATGTTCAGGATTTGATTAAAAATTTGAAGACAGTGATGTCAATGACTATCACGCAAAAATAGATAAATTTCAACGATCTTAACTCAGAGCAGTGGACAGTTTTAAATTAATTGAAATATCACGAATTCAAGTCAGGAAGAGACGCTGATTTCTAGATGAAAATATTTTCAATAAATAATTTCATTTACTTTAGTGCATCAACTATCAGTCTGAAAGCTATTTGCTATAAGACTATTTTGTGTCTCTAAAGTGGTATTGAGTAGTGTTGAAACAGCAAGATGGCTTAAATAATATGTTTTTATTTTTATTTTCAAATTACATTGCAAACTCAATTTATTACCTTTAATACGGTAATCTTACACAGGCCTTTGTTACATTTTAGTACCAGCCTAATATTTTCTAATGTGACATATTTTGTAATCATGACCTTTATAGCCTTCTACGTAAAAGAACCTACTCACAGTTACAAATAGAACATGAAAACCATACAAACAAAAACTTCTAAAAGAAGATCGTACAGTATTGTCCTCTTTATTAAATACCTATTCAGTCACCTATGCTTTATTAAATCACCGGTTCTGAAGGTTCATTGTCGATGTGTTAATTAGTGATAAGTATATCGACGTTGGGCGGCCTGGGCGGGCCGGGCTGTCTGGGGGCGGCACCTAGCTGTGTTGGAGGCGGCACCTCGCCACCCCCGGGGACGGCAGTAACGCCGCGGCACCTCCGTACGTCAGACGTGCGTCAGTTACAGCTTCTGAATACGTAATCTTAGGTGTTAAACGGTTATAAAATAAGGTGAATTCCAACTTGAGATATTAATTTGATTTGGTTAGTTTTGTATATTGTGATGTATGTAATTGCCATTTCCAAACCCCAGATGACATACGTCCAAAATAGTTTTTACCTACCCCTTATCTGGACGTTTTGAGTCATAAGTTAACAAGTTTTAGGCTATTTAAATTGAAAAAAAAAAACACTAAATATACAACGTACAATGACGAAAAAATGACACTAGCAAAATACAAAATGGATGATTTGGAATACAATCATCGTTTTCTATAAAAAAAAAACTTCATTACTTACCGTCTATAAATATTTCGATGTAATAACATAAGGTTATTCGAACCAGCAATTAAAAAACTATCTGTTATAGATACAGAAGGAGGAGAATAATATTAGAAAATAACTAAAGTTTATAAAGTTATAAAACAGTGATAGATTTATAACCTAAAGTGAATCAAAAGTTTGGAAATGCATATACGATAAAAGAAAACAACTTAAATAAAAAATGCTATTTTAATTTCTTGCAATCAAGACAAGTTGAAGCTAGTGTTCAAGCAAAAGCAAAAGTAATATCAATATCTATTTACAATTTTACTTACCAACTACACATTATGGCTAATAGTTGAGTATATATTATACTTAGCTGTAAGAATGATGAATTCTTCTATTAAAACACTCACACACTTGGAAAGTTCACCTTTTAGAATAACCATTGATATTTTATCATTAAGTCTATTATTTTTCAAAATTGGAATTGCCTAGTCTCTTTTGCATTATTGAAAAGCAAAGTATAATAACATAATTAGTATTGGACTTATTTTGATTTAATTAATCAGGGAATATTATAGTTTAATCGTATTACTTTATTTAATAATAATTAACATATGGCACAGCATATTATACAGGTTTTAAAATGATAAACTAATATTTTTATTCTAAATTTAATAAATTTCCGTCTTACATGAGATCATATTTTACCGTCAGTAACATATATCAGCAATATCTTAAATGTTTTCGGTAAACCTTTTTTAATATATTAATAATCGATTTTCATCCCTAAGCCACTTTTTAATTTTTAAGAAAAATAAACATATCGATAGATTTTCCTTTTTTAAATAAAAGTGCACTTTAAGCAATTTTGTAAATCGTAACTTTTACAACAAACGTGTTTACCAGAGTGCAGTCACGACGGATAGAAATTTTGAACACAATAAACAATCGTTATTTATTTATTAAATGTTGTTTATGATTTCGATTTTCTTTTGAAATATTAAACAGGTTTAACAAGAAAATGATGAAACAATAAAAAAAATCTATTCCAGTTTTCAAAAGTAACTCTTCATAAAAATCGGCATTATAAAATAATATCCGCTTCGTAATATGATTGTGTATGATTGTAATTACTTTACAATCAACTTTGTCACTTGGAGCGTAACGATTCATTAATAGGTAATGTTGCAACTGGGCAACTTAATTATCATATGTAACAACAATCGACCAGACACACCGTCACTTCGTTACAGCGCACAGCGCGATATATTTGCAATATGTAGAGATGTTAGCAATGAATATTGACAATGCTATTGTTACCTGTTCCGAATCAGTTTAGCATGATTTGGAGGCTGATGATGGTTAATAATGGGGTGTGTTTGTGAAATAGCAAACTATGTGCTTTAGAATGTATGTGGTTTAAAGCAGCTATGGTAATGCTTAGTTATCCTTTTAAAATAAGCTTATTTGATTAGTGGCAGGATTTTTTTACAGATGTAAACATAGTTTTTTCTTGACAAATAAACTTCTTAACTAAACTTCTTCTAAACTTCTTAAAACTTCTTAAATAAAAACAGTTGTGGTTTTAGCAGAACTTAAAAAAATTATAATTGATTTTATTAGTTTGTACTTTGTTGGACAAGAAACAATTGCTACTCTTAGCCTGAAATTGGTTATAGTAAGTTTTAACTGCAAGAAAGAATATGTTATGGATAAGGTAATTTATTTAAAAATAGTTTGGTATAAACATATGACACCATCAAATACTAGGCTTCTAAATAAACACAAATAGCAAAAATTTATTACGACATATATTTAAATATTCTTGGTTAAAGAAACACAACGCATTCATTTCCCAAAATATAGATGTAGTTTTTTGAAATAATACCATTCAATATTTTTACGCTAATTTTCCCAGTATACAAAAAAAATCCCCATAATTTTCCCAGTTCAGTTGTTTGACAATTCAACGACCATCTTCAATTCAATTTAAATCTGTTAAACTCCGAGGTGTGAGATTCTATTTTTTATTTACGCTCTATACTACTATTTGATGTTAAACTAATTACAATAAGCATTTACTTGGCATTTCGAACGTTATAGACTTGTTTCACACCAGTGTGTGGTGTTGATTGTAAGGTGTGAGGCTGACGCGCGCGTCAACAGCTCAGTATTCACCGTGCTGTCAGGAGGGGAGCATCTACGCGTCGCTGAGTCTCTCTACGAGCTTACAAACAGGTAAAACTACAAAGTTGACTATCAGACTGTAACGTAGAGTTATTGAAATAAAACACAATAATTGTCAATAGTAGGAATATTGTGTGATATATTTTTCGAGTGTTGGATATTTTATATTTCGTAAATTAAATTGTACAAACACTTACAATGAAGAAATTCCCTTTAAACATTTACCAGCAAAAGCTTGTAGACTAACTACATTTTTAGGATAAGATGCACAATTGTTTTATATATACAACTATCTATGCTTCTTTTGTCAATGTAATTGTTAAGTACAAAGAGGTTAAAGATTTACATTGTTTAAGAGCGTTGCAAAATTTCGTACAGTATAATAATATTGTAAAAATAAAAAATAAAACTAACGAATAAAAATAATACTTAATTCCTGTCTTCCCCACGTTTAAGAGCTTATAATTTTAACAAGTGGAAAGATAATAGTGAAAGTACGTGGTGAAGACAGGCAGACAGTTCCATTTATGTCTGTTAGTATTTTTATTTCGTACTTAGGTTAGTTCGTACTTTAGTTTTTTTTTGTAACGCACTTAACACAGTTAAACTTTAAACAGCTTAAAAACGAAGCTTTAACATTGATGTACTATTTCTATTTAAATTTAAATCTACTGAAAATTTTATGAAAAATATTATATGGTTTTGACAAACATTATTATAATTTTAAGCAATCATACTGTATAGGTACGTTGAATATGGGTATCTTATTTGTCTTTTACTTTATTTTCGGCGTTTTTATGGTTATGTTACTTTCGTTAACATACAAGTAGTAGGCCTAGGTAACTTTGCTTAAAGGTGATTCATCTATCAAATAATATATACAACAGTTAATTAAAAATTAAATAAAATGATTTGAATTTATAGAGCTACCACGATTACTGAGAGCTACCTAACTTTAATGCGTATATCTTGTTAATTTAAATTTTTAATCACGTTTGTAACGATTGGTTGTAAAAAAATGAATGGAACAGAAGGGTTACGAATTTAAACTTTACGATTACATAATTAGGTTTTTATATGTGGAAAGCACAAATATTTTAATTTAAAATTGAATTGAGAAATCTATTCATTGTGATTATAAAGTAATAATCAATAAAGCGTTTGAAGTTATAATAAATCCTAGCAAAGATTTAACTTTTATCAACGGTTTTGTAATTTATAATAATCACAGAAATGTGTACTAATTCATTTTCTTTGAACGTACAGTATAGAAATTACAGGATCCGAGGAGAAATAGCAAACAGCGAGTTTTCAAGAATACATTTCCTAGTAAATTCTGTGATAATTACGTAATCTGAGCAACCAACGATTTATTATTTTGTATTTTATAATAACACATGTATTGCGTTAGGTAATCAATAATTAATTACAAATTGCATGCTTCTACTGTCCATACTCCTTTACTTTGCAAAAACACGCAGCTTTATATGTAATATAAAGAATGAGGGAAGAACAAATTCATCCTCTAAACATAATATAAAATGAGAGTTTTACTACAAAAAACGTTGTACCTAAAAGAACATAAACATAGCATTGACCTATCAATAAACCACCACTAACCCAGATCCACCAAACACGGAATTGCTTAACGTGGTATTTCCAATTTTAATTCCCATAATTAATAGTTAGTGCGGCATGTAGGATGATCAATAACACAGGATCATATCACCAACAGATGACTTGGACCATACATCAAGCCTGTTCTCAGCTTACAGCTCATGTTGGATCCACTTGGAGCACATTTGTAATCCCAAAAATGCCTTAAAATTTGATATAAGATTTGATACCTTATTAGCTAATGTTGACATTTTAAAACCTGATTTAATAAATAAATTATCTAGATGACAAATTATACATAGTATATGAGTAAGAAACGGGACTTTGTAGACACGGTAAAAAAAAAAAAAAAAAAAAAAAAAAACTGGATGAATTTTTATAAAATTTTAGTCTAATTTGACTTTTGCGAGATTTTTTCACATTTATTCTACATTACACAGATACATTTTTATAGTTCTGTCTGGACTTGACCACTCGGGCTTTCAGTCTCTTAATATATTTTTTAACGATACTGTATTATCTGTTTTTTGTTAATTCTGGCTTAATAAATGATTTAATTTGGTTTGATTTGATTTGATCTGGTAACATAAACAAGTCTAATTGACCTACAAAAAAGAATAAAAAAATAACAAACAATATGACACAAATAAATTATTCTTATAACTATACTCCTTTTATCTATGTTACTATTCAGCAATGCCTTTGATTGTTCATACTGTACCCAACAAACACAAAACATCCAAAAGTGATTTAAACAAAGTGCTTTATACATTAGGCCAACCTACGATTTATGTTGGTGATTTTATTTATCGTTATATCCAATAGGGCCATGCAAATAACCTATGGTACAAGCCTTGTTACTTGTTTTGAACTTAACATATCGATTATGTATGAACCTTAAGATGCGAGCAATATTTGTCTAAATTGGTGGAAAAAAGTGTTTTCCCCGTTTGATCCTTTGCATCCTTGATCGGTCATTGAAGCAAGCGATAATGGGTAAGGATTCCTGTTAAAGTTTTAGGGTCCTTCCCGCAAGTCCAGAGCACCCCCCCCCCTCTCTCTTTCTATGGCTTTAATACAAATTCCCATGGTTTAAATTCACTGTTTTATGTATTTCATTTATCCTTTCTCTAACAGCATGCACGATTACTATTTTTATTAATTCAAATTTAAGCTCTTAGTTTCATCCTTGTACTAAGAAATATGTATATTTCTACTGTAAGTTGTATTACATAACAGAAGTCTGTTTTATTTCAATTTCTTAATTGTGTTTCCTTTGTATTTTCTTTAAGGTTATAAAAATATTACAACCTCTTTTGTATTTGTTTTTAAACATACTAAAAGTTCTAGTGATCATCCGTTAGACATTTCAATTTATTATCAGAATTGAGATTATTAAAATTCCAAACTTGCTTAATCAAACCCCCTGAGATTTCTCAAATTTAAATAAACCTAAAACATATTTTTTTACGTATAACATAATCAGTTTAGAATGTATGGAGCAAAAAGGTTTTTTGATAATTTTAGTAAAATTATCTAGAAGGTTTTGTCCCAAACAATAAATCCACATAGGACAAGATAAAGAAGGCAACAAAAACGGCGGCTCTGATGTGGAAAGTTTCCGCAATGAGCGCGACAACGGTCCAAGTTGGACTTGTACCACTAAATAAATAGCGGACAGTAAACTTGCAAAACCTGAAAAGTTACACATGCTTCGTTGACTTTGGTTTTACGCTGGGCAATATGACCCATAAATACTATGTAATTTACATATTCTCATAAGAAGTAGATTTTATTATGATATTACGACGATTTTTTTACTAAAAAGAGTGGCACATTTTTTTTCAGCTGCGGGTTTTCAATACGGACGAAATAAGAGATAAAAAAATGAAAAATTATAAAATTAATTTCTTTGTTTTTTTTTTATTATTAAATTAAATTCTCATAACCTAGTCTAACTAACCAAACTTGTTGATCTAATAAAAAAATCGAATAAAGGTTTACTAGAAGTACATTGTTGGTGATGGTGAGTAATGTTGTTCAACGGTTTATTGCGGACATTTTCCATCACGATAGTAAAAAAACTATATACAACGTTTCGGGATCTGGAAGATTAAAAACTTTAAGTTTTTTCGCCTGAGAAGTTATTGCTAGGAAACTAGTATTAAAAACATTAGTATCAATATTATTATTATCAAATTATTTATATAGATTTAATAACTCAGCTTTTTGTTGTTCGATCAAAACTAGGTTTCGTTAGTTTAAGTTTGTTATCAATATGTTTATTTTGTAACTCTAATGGTTGTATTGTAATTTGACGTCAACGAATTTAGATGGGCGTTAATTTCTTTATAGTAACCTGGTCCATTTTATTTAATTACTCAGTATTTGGTATGGATCTATAATCATCATATTTGAAATATTGTCACTTGGTAGTTTTATTCGTATTTTGTCTGCTTAAGCAAATATATTATTTTAACATAGTGATTTTTAAACTAAGAAATTATCTTTGAAAGGTGAGGTTTGCATTATACATTCTGCTTATAAAACAGGTTTTGCAATTTGCACACAACCCCTCTATTAAGATATATTTTAGCTATAAAACCTGCAACTTCATTATACTATAAAATATTTTAGAACCTATACATGTTTATCTATTTTCACCGCAAGTTATAACATTGACACGTTGCAGCTACTAACACTGCGGTCCTTACACATACACCAGTCTGTATCGGCCTTGCACGATGTTGTATTGAATGGCTTTTCGATATCTTTATACGTGACAAAAATATTGAGAACCGTCCCGCTTTCTCGAGAATGTGTGCTAAAATTACCCAAACAAATTATTTTGGTATTGTATTAGGTAATAGAATTAGAGTAACGTTGAAATTTTCAGTGAGGAAATAAAGTAGGTACACAGTTGTTCGGAACCATTAATAAATTAGTGAAAAAATGTGTAATGTTTATTATGTAGTACTAAACAGTAAGCTTTAAGTGAGTTTACAAGGCATTTAGTTATAACAAATACTGTCTGTTGAATTAGTGTTTTTAACTTCAGTATTTTTTTTTTATCAGTAGTAGTTCTTCAATATAACTTTTGTAGAAATAAATTACCTATTTTACAAACTATTTCATTATCAACTACGTACCGTATTTGAAACACCCACATACAGATTAAATGAAACGTAGTAAATATGTTAATTGTTGCAGTTCTTAATGATCTCACTGTGACTTAATTTGTATTAATAAAACAGATTGATTCCCTAGTGATGAAACACTGTCTGCATACAAAGCAGTCGTAAGTAGGACCATAGGGGGTAATCAAGAACTAAACTGTGTTAGCATATAAGATAATGAATCTAGAGATAGTATAATTTAAGAATATTATTCACAAACTAGAACTATGGGTTAACTAGTGTAGCAAAACCTTATAA